AATACAGCGCTTCGTAGCCCCATAGGAGCTCCGCCGAAGGCCCGAGCACCCGCGCCCGCATGCGTCACCCACGCCCAATTCGGCACACCCCCCCTCATACGTTTCGTGGCTCCATAGGGAGCTCCACCGAAGCCCCCAGTGCCCGCGCCCGCATGCGTCATCCACACCCATTTCGGCACACCCCTCACAACGTTTCCGTGGCTCCATAGGAGCTCCAACGGAAGGCCCCAGTGCCCGCGTCCCGCATGCGTCACCCACACACATTTCGGCACTACACTCTCTCACTTTCGTGGCTCCATAGGGAGCTCCATAACCGAAACAAATAAACGAAACTCCCACGAAAGTGAACCGAAGGCCCCAGTGCCCGCGGCCGCATGCGTCCCCCACACCCATTTCGGCACACCCCTCACACGCTTCGTGGCTCCATAGGAGCTCCACCGAAGGCCCCAGTGCCCGCGGCCGCATGCGTCCCCCACACCCATTTCGGCACACCCCTCACACGCTTCGTGGCTCCATAGGGAGCTCCGCCGAAGGCCCCAGTGCCCGCGCCCACATGCGTCACCCCCCATGTCGGCACACCCCTCACACGTTTCGTGGCTCCATAGGGAACCCCACCGAAGGCCCCAGTGCCCGCGCCCGCATGCGTCACCCACGCACAATTCGGCACACCCCTCACACGCTTCGTGGCTCCATAGGGAGCTCCACCGAAGCCCCCATGCCCGCAGCCCGATAGCTCGTCACCCACACCCAATTTCGGCACACCCCTCACACGTTTCGTGGCCCCATAGTAGAACTCCGCCAAGGCCCCATTGCCCGCGCCCGCATCGTCACCCACGCACATTTCGGCACACCCCTCACCACGCTTCGTGGCTCCATAGGGAGCTCCACCGAAGGCTCCCGTGCCCGCGCCCGCATGCGTCACCCACACCCATTTCGGCACACCCCTCACACGTTTCGTGGCTCCATAGGGAGCTCCACCGAAGGCCCCAGTGCCCGCGGCCGCATGCGTCACCCACACCCATTTCGGCACACCCCTCACACGTTTCGTGGCTCCATAGGGAGCTCCACCGAAGGCCCCAGTGCCAGCGCCCGCATGCGTCATCCACACTCATTTCGGCACACCCCTCACACGTTTCGTGGCTCCATAGGGAGCTCCACCGAAGGCCCCAGTGCCCGCGCCCGCATGCGTCACCCACACCCATTTCGGCACACCCATCACACGTTTCGTGGCTCCATAGGGAGCTCCACCGAAGGCCCCAGTGCCCGCGCCCGCATGCGTCACCCACACCCATTTCGGCACACCCCTCACACGTTTCGTGGCTCCATAGGGAGCTCCGCCAAAGGCCCCAGTGCCCGCGCCCGCATGCGCCAGCCACACCCATTTCGGCACGCCCCTCACGCGCTCCGTGGCCCCATAGGGAGCTCCGCCGAAGGTCCCAGTGGGTGTGCCCGCATGCGTCCCGCACACCCATGTCGGCACGCCCCTCACACGTTTCTTGGCCCCATAGAGAGCTCCACCGAAGGCCCCAGTGGGTGTGCCCGCATGCGTCCCGCACACCCATTTCGGCACACCCCTCGTACGTTTCGTGGCCCCGTAGGGGGCTCCACCGAGAAGATATTCACACTTGCAGTATTCACAATTGCATATGGTTGGGTCCTTCGCCAGGATAATTTTTTTCTGCCCAACGGAAACAAAGCTGCGAGACCCTAGCCCGCTGATTCCCCTTTGGCGGTGTGAGACTCTGCCCCCCCCCCCTCCCCCTCGGGGCCTCTGTTGGGGCCGTCTTGAGCCTTTCCTGTGCCATCGCAGGGCGACGAGATTACTGCTCTCCCCCTTGCTCTCCCCCTTCCCACTCCCCCATTTTGACGGACCCATGGCCTCTCGCGGGCTGGCGGGATTACACCACGCATTCTCCGATCACAATGAGGAAAAACAAAAGGTAATCTGCAAGGCCTCAGAATATCTTAGCCTTTACGTCATCATGCGCCACTACATAGAAACGAACTTAGTGCACGACCCTCGGCTACAAAGGGAACGGGAATCATTCGTGGCAGCGTGCCGCCTCCTTGATTTATGTTTAGTGTGCAAGCGGTCTTCGGGGGAGGTGTTCGAGAGAGCGGCCAGGGAATTGCCTGCTGCCCTTAAGGAGCACAGTGTCAAGCACCAGCTCGCGTACGGCGAAGCAACAGTTATTCCCAAACACCACGCGTCCTTTCACGCCCCTTCCCAATTTCTCAGGGACGGGTGCGTGGTGGATATGTTCGTGGTGGAAAGGCTTAACCTCCAAGTTAAGAAGGTGGCAGAGAGTATCAAGAACACGGAAGTATGGGAACGATCTGTGTCCGCATCTCTTTTCACGCGGCAATACAATCAATTGTGCGAAGGCGGTGCTCATTTTAAGGATGGTTTGCTCGGCCGAGTTGGTTCAATCCAAGAGTATCCAAATGCACAGGTGTCCAGGGCCGTCTGCATGGAGGGTGTGGAGTTCCATGTTGGTGATATTGCCCTGGTGGGGGAGCGGTGTGGGAAAGTTGCAGCGTGTGCCCTCGACGGGGGTGAGTTGATCTTACTGTTGCAAGAGATGGTGCCGATTGGCCCAGCGACCCCCTCGAGTAATGCGTTCCGTTTGACTCGCAATGTATGCGCAGCGTTGGTAAGAGATGCCCGTGAGGCCCACGCTTGGCACCAGAGTGTCCTCGATGAGTACGTTGTGTTGTTCTAGTGGCGCTAGCGGCCCTTCCGCTGCGTGGCAAAAAAATACAGCCATCATGCACCAAACATCCCCATCGTGCCTCGTTCCTCCTTCTCATCCTCCTTTTCCTCGTCGTCGTCCTCCTCCTCCTCCTCCTCCTCCCTCGCGTGGCGGGCGCTGGTCTGAGCGGATGCCCCGCTGTCTCCTGGGCGCCTCAGAAGGGGGAGCGGGGGCGGGGCGCAATCTGGAAAGGGGGGGAAAAAAAAAAGGCGATGGGGGGAGGAGAAGGAGGGGAGGAGGAGGAGGCGGCGGGCGAAGGAACGAGGAAGAATGCACAGGAGGAGGGGGAAGGTCACGCGAACACGACGACGACGAAGTTCTACAAGGGAGATTGAGGAAATAAACAAGTTAGATAAGTAAAACATAAGTAGGATAAGTCCCGTAAGCATTTGACGCTGCCTAGTTTGGTTTCTGACAAATGTGTGGCTCTATTGCGTGATTGGGGATATCGTGGTCGTCGTGCCCTTATGTGATCTAGACACGCTTGTAGTATTTCAGTACCATTTGAGTGCATTTAAAGGCACTACGACGACTTGAAATGAACTCCAAACACATTGAAGTCCACGTAATGTGGCTCATATCGCTCTTGTCTGGGCAATTGTATCAGCAGAGATCCAATACACTGAAAAAATCAAGACGGAGGTTTTTCGCAGTTTTTTCGGCCTCTATAGGGGCCCTCGCCGGGCCTCGGGACCGTCGAAAAACGACTCAGGATGAAAAACCGGTCCTGGGGAATGGGTCGAGACTTCCGGGGACCCCGTGTTGAAAAAATCACGACGTCGCATCTCTGGGGGTGCGCTCTGCAGGGGGATCTGATGCGCCCGGCTCTTGGGGGGGGGGGCCGAGCCCTGACGCGGTCGCGCCGTGGCAAGGAATTCAGGACGGAGGCGCCTCGCCGCTCTTTTTCGGCCTCTGGCGGCCCTCGCCGGGGCCCGGGGCCGTCAAGAAGCGGCTCAGGACGGAACGCCGGTCCCGGGGGAAGGGTCGGGACTCCATGGGGACCGCGCATCGAGAAAATCGAGGCGTCGCATGCCTCTGGAGACGTACCCCCAGGACGACGCCCCCCCAGGGAGGTGTCGCAGCGGCCACGGTTCCGGCCACAGCGGGCGCCGAAACACGCACCCGCTGGGCGCCCCGAGGTGGGTCCTGAGGCCCCCTCTGCAAGGTACGCCTGTGCTGGGGTACGTTTGGCCTCTCGGGCCGGGCGAAAGGGGGGGATAGCAAAGGGGGGGGTTGAGAATCAGCTCACATAGCTGATTTTCCTGGCGCCTGCTGGCGCCGGAGGCGGCTATGCATCGAGGAATGGGCCCCTCGGTGGGGCCGAAACCAGCTGCACGCAGCAAATGTTGTACCCCCCCCTTTCCCAATCCCCCCCTTCCGTCGGGCCCGAGCCTCCTCTGAGGCATGCAACCCGCAGGGGGGAGGGGCGGCGGGCGAGGACCTCGGCAGAGTTTCTCCGCCGCGCCCCGAGGAGGCCCGACGAGGGCAGCGTGGCGCGCCCCAAGCTCGAAAACGACGCAGATCGCAAACCACATCCCAGCGTAAAGTTGCGAAGAATGGCAACACCGTGGAAAATCACGACCCGAGCCCTGGAGCCCATCTTTCTGCGCCATTGTCTGCGCCGCACCGAGCAGTGAGGGCCCTGGGGCCCTGGGGCCCGAAACCGGGCAAACACACTCGGGGTGAAACGAATGCAGCGCCCTCTTGACGAGGAGGGCATGCAAAACAAAAGGGTGGTGCGCCGACAGAGCCCCACGCGGGGGGAGAAAGGTACCCTTTTCGGACCCTACAGGCCCTCAGGGCTCCTGTAGGGGGCCCTAAAGGGTCCCTGGAGGCCTCGCTGCCCCACCATTACTCGCCCCCCCAATTACGCGCCCTCCAATTTCAGGCCATCCCTCGCGGGCCTCCGGCGGCCGTTGGGGACGATTCCGGTAGCCCCCGGAGCGCTCTCGACGAGGCGCAGCTGCTGGGAGACACCCCGAGGCGAAAAGGACGACAGGAAATGGCGAGAACCCCCGAGAACCCGCGCGCGGCCTGTGCGCCCCAGGCATATGCTCGAGATGAGGAGGGAGGAGGAGGAGGAGGAGGAGGAGGAGAGGAGGAGGAGGATGAGGAGGAGGAGGAGGAGGAGGAGGAGAGGAGGAGAGGAGGGAGGGAGGAGGAGGAGCAGGAGGAGGAGCAGGAGGAGGGGAGGAGAGCGGAGGAGGAGGAGGAGGGGGAGGAGGAGGAGGTTTGTAAGCGCCGAACCTTCCACGCGCCTGGGCTCCCCAGGGCCACCGCGCGGGGCGCGCCCGGGGCGGGGCCGACCGGCAGGAGGCGGGCGGCGCGGTTGCCGGGGCTCTCCTCCGCGCTCGGCGGGCCCGCGCTGGGCGTGCGGGGCGTGTCCTGCGCGGCCGCCGTCGTCGTCGTCGTCGTCGCCGCCGCCGCCGCCGCCGCCGTCGCCGTCGCCGCCGCCGCCGTCGCCGTCGCCGTCGCCGTCGCCGTCGCCGTCGCCGTCGTCGTCGTCGTCGTCGTCGTCGTCGTCGTCGTCGTCGTCGTCGTCGTTGTCGTTTTGGTCTTGGTCTTGGTCTTGGTCTTGGTGATTGTTTTGATCTTTGTCTTTGTCTTTGTCTTTGTGTTTGCCGTCGGCGGCGGTGGCGGCGACGGCGGGGGCGGCGCGGCGGCGGCGGCGGCGACGGCGGCGGCGGCGGCCTGCGCGGCCTCGCCGGCAGAGGCCGCGCGGGCTGCCTCGCCGTCGCGCGCGCTGGGGCCCTCGGCATCGGGCTGGTCGCCGCCACGGCCGAGCGGCGGCAGCGCAGCCGTGCTGTCGCTGTAGCGAAGGGGCCTCTGCGCCGCGAAGTGCACCAGCTGGCAGGCGCCTGCCTCGCGGCCTGTCGTGGTCGTCGTGGTCGTCGTGGTCATCGTGGTCGTCGTGGTCGTCGCCGCCGTCGTCGTCGGCGTCGGCGTCGGCGTCGGCGTCGTCGCCGTCGCCGTCGACGTCGCCGTCGCCGTCGCCGTCGCCGTCGCCGTCGTCGTCGTCGTCGTTGTCGTCGCCGTCGACGTCGGCGGGGGCGGCGGCGGCGGCGGGGCCTCGCCCCAGGGGCTCCGTGGCGGGCGCCCGGAAGGCGCCGGCGGCGGCGCCCGGGACGCGCGCCTTGAGGTCCAGGGAGCTGCTCGCGGCCACCACCTCCGCCAGCTTTGCCTGCAGCATGTCGTGCTGCGCTATCAGCTGCTGGCAGGTGGGGAAGTCCATCAGCTTCACCGACTTGACGAGCTGCGGGGCCTGCCCGTCGCCCCCGAGCGAGCCCCTCCGCCCAATCTCGGCCTGCAGGTGGAGGCTCGCCGCACGCTCCGCGTCGCCGTCCCCCACGGAGATGACGTTGCGGTACGGCTTGCACTCCCTCTGGAAGGCGCCGGTCTTGAACGTGATCGGCGCATTCATGGGCTTCGCGTAGATGTCGTACTCGCGCATCTGCTGCAGCAGCTGCGGCATGAACTGCTGGCAGGACTGGAGCACCCATCCTTAGGCAGAGGAGCAACACACATGCAGAAATATAAAGTTCGGAGCTCCGCGCGGATTCCTTGGATCGGCGCTGGACCCCCCTCCCTGAGGCGCCGCGGCGCGCCGCCAGGGGGGCCCGGCGCAGATCCAAGGAATCCGCGCGGAGCTCGGACAATCTGTGCTTGTGCAGTTTGCCCTTCTTCGAGTCCCGGCGCGCTGTTGGTGATGAAGATCACCTCCCCGAGCGTCTCGGCGAGCCGCAGGGTCTCGGAGGCCGCGTCGCACAGCTCCGCCATGTACCGCTCGGCCCTGGGCTGCGGCTGCCCGCGGCAGGCCGCCGCGTGCAGCCGCTCCAGCCACGAGGTGGGGAGGACGGTGTCGTCCCAGTCGAAGACGATGACGGTCTCGTGCTTCGCGCCGCGGGCAGCCCTCTCCACGCCTCCCGCGCGGTCCCTAGCAGCGGCGCGCTCCCGTTCCATCCCGCGGCATGCGGGGGCCGCCTCGTCCGATCGGAGGGAGTAGGAGGAGGAGGAGGAGGAAGAAGAGGAGGAGGAGGAGGAGGAGAAGGAGGAGGAGGTGGAGGAGGATGAGGAGGAGGAGGCGGAGGAGGATCCGGAAGGAGGCAGGAGGAGGAGGAGGATCAGGAAGGAGGCAGGAGGAGGAGGAGTAAGAGGAGGAGGAGGAGAGGAAGGAGGAGGAGGAGGAGGAGGGGAGGAGGAGGAGGAGGAGGAGGAGGAGGAAGGAGGAGGAGGAGGAGGAGGAGGAGGAGGAGGAGGAGGAGGAGGAGGAGGAGGAAGGGCTTCCGATCGCCCGCTCGTTGCCGCCGGGGCTCCCCTGGAGCGGCCGTGCCTGGGCCCCAAGCTGCCGCGGAGAGCCCGCGCTGCCGGGGGTGCAGAGGGGGCGCCGAAGGTCCCCGTGCCGCCTAACCTTGTGCTACCGTTAGTAGGGGGGAAAGCAAACCTACCTCGCTTTTGACCACCCTCGCTTCCAGTAGACACCAAACGATGCCAAGCTACGGCCTGCGCTGGTCAGGCCGCTTGACGAGGAGGCGCGTGGCATGACTTGGTTTTGCCTGGAAGCGGAAGCGGGGGAGGTAATTTACGCTCTGAATTAGGTCGGGGCGCCGAAGGTTCTTGTGCTGCCGTGTGAGGAGCGCCGAGCAAGGCACGAGTGGACTCGTCTGGCCACGGCGGATCTCCTCGGCCACGAAGCGGCCCCCCCTACAGGGGAGTTCGATGTGCGACAAAGGTAAAAAGCTTCAGAACATACTCCAAAGATGCGCACAAAATACTCAAAACGTCGCCCCCTGACTGTTGGCTGACTATTTCTGGATGTTCCCCCTGTGGAGGGACAGGCCCGACTTCATGCCACCGTGCGGGACGCCGAGCAATCGCAGGAGTGGGCCCGCCTGGCCGTGGCGGATTTCCTCGGCCACGGAGCGGTCCGCCCACCCCAGGATTCGCTCTCGGCAGCGCCCCGAGAACGGGAGCCCATCCCGAGCGCCCCCAAGTGGCCCCTGCCCCAGCGTCTCGACTGCAGTGGGAGGCGTCCTCGCCGAGCCGCCGCGGCGAAGCGCTGCTGCCGCCGCCGCCGCCGCCGCCGCCCCCTCCGAAGAGGCTCCGCGGTGGCCTCCTGGGGAGCCCTGGGGCCCCCTGGACGCCCCGAAAGACTCCCAGAGGCTCCCGAACATCGCTCCAGAAAATCATCGAGGCCACACGGGGGAGGTCTGAAGCGACAAGCTGGACGTCTCCCAGGTGGGGCCAGGGCTGGAAGGGTCGCTCCGCATCGTCGTTGCATTGCCGATGCGCTGGCGACGGCGTGATCGAGAAAGCCGAACTCTGTCTTTCGCGCCGCGTCGCCGATGCATCGGCGATACGGCGCGATCCTCCGGCAGCATCTCTGCTCGGGCCCCATTGAAGAAGAGGCTGGGCCCCCCTGGAGATGTCCTGGACGCCCCTGGTAGGCCTCGACGCCACTGGGCGACCCCAGGGATCCACTGGATGGAGGGGGAGCAAGGATACACCCTCACGTCCGCCGATGTGCATCTCTCAGCCCGCGGCCCCAGGGAGGTCTCGACCGCCTCTCTGGGGGCAACGTTCCGCCGCAGCTCCGATTCTGATAGAGCCCCCGGGCCGGAAGACAGCCCGCGCGGGCCGAGATCGAGGAGAAACGCCGGTTGACACAAAAATCATATTGTTGGAGAGCTGCAGTGCCTCGCGCTCCCTCTGCGGTAGTGCAGGACCATCCGGCGGTGCCGGCGATCTCGCCGCGGCCCGGCCGTCCTCGGTCGGGGACTGCTGGGAGCTCCCCTGGAGGCCACCCGGATCTCCAGTCGGACCTGATATAGCGAGCGAGTGAGCGAGCGACCACGAGTGCGGACAAGCGTCTGGGCCCAGCTAAGGCCCAGTGGAGGAGGCCGTGGCCATGCACTGTGCTGCGAAAGACACATGAACGCATTGAGAAAGGTGGAGGGGTGGGGGAGGAGAGAGGGGTGTCTGTCCTGTCCTGGCAATGGAAAACCTGCCGTTTCTTCCGAAGCCGGTCCATCGAGCTGATCCGCGACGAACTGACCCGGAGGAGTTCGTCTGAACAGCTTCTTCCAGACAACGTCATCCGACGACGAGTTCATCCGAAGACGAGTTCATCCAGAGACGGGACCACCCGCAGACAAGCTCACCTAGACGGACCTATATCCAGATAACTTCACCCAGACGATCATCGTCATCGTCATCGTCATCGGCATCGTCATTGTCGTCGTCGTCGTCGTCGTCATCGTCGTCGTCTCTCTCCGTATGCAGTCTGGAGGCTCCGAGAAGTTCTGGCGGGGGCAACTGGCCCTCGTACTGCTCACGGGCCGCGCCCAGCCACAGCGGCGCGGCCCCCGGGGGGGGGGCACACGGGGGCACACAACGCCTGGAGGAGTGAGTGGGGCGACGGCAGCTGCCCACCTCCTCAGCACGAAGCCACGACAAGGATAACACTGGACAAAGATACACCGGACGTCTCGGAGACCCGGCGGTCCTGGAGGATGTGCAGGGCGCGCGGCCTGCCCCGAGCGTTCCGGAACGCTCCGAGAGCGCTCCGGGACGCTCTAGAACCGATGCTATCCCTGTCGTAGCCCAGCCCGGCCCTCCGACCTCGGCGGCTGGGCCCATCTACGGGCCCAAGGTCAGTGTATGCGCCCTCCCCCTGACACTCGACGGCGCGAAACACATGACCCATTGCAAGAAATCACGACCGGAGCCCAGGGGTCCCTATCTGTCTCCAGCATCTCTCGCACCGCGTCGATCTGTCGGGGTCCCGTGGCCCGAGGCCGCCCAGCGCGACAAAACGGACGCCAGGATTTCAGGGTCCTCCCCCTCCTCCCCCCTCCCCCTCCTCCTCCTCCTCCTCCTCCTCCTCCTCCTCCTCCTCCTCCTCCTCCTCCTGCCCCTCCCTCGCTTTCGGCTGCACGCGAGACTGACCCTGGGCAAGAGTGGCCTCTGGTGCGCGGCTGTGCGGGGGGGGCCGCGGGGCAGGCCCAGATCCAGGCCCTCCGCGCGCGCCGGCCGGTGCTGACGGGGCCCTCTGTGTGCCCGCACCAAAAGGCCGCTCCGGCGAAAGGTCGCTCTTACGCGTAGCCTTACTGACTACCTACCAGACCACCCCAGCCCAACCCGAGGACCCGAATTTCGGGTTGGGGGGGGTAAGGGCTTCCATATGTGTTTTTTTATACGTTTCCCGACCCCCCCCACTAGAAATCGAGGGTAAATCTGAGCCTTCGGGTTGGGTTGGGGTGGTTTGGTGGGTGGTGACTTACGTTGTTCCCATCCTACTTAG